ACACAACGACCCAACGAGGACCATTCCGGTTTTGCAGTGTTCTCCGACAGCAGAAAGATTGTTTTTGCCGAAACGGCCGTCTTTGTCGAGATTCATGCTGCCAACGCCCTCGTCGACACCGGCGCCGGCTATTCTGTAATGAGCGTCACACTGACATCTGAACTGAGGAAGGTTACCACACCGTGGCAAGGACCCCAGTTGCGCACGGCAGGTGGCCATCTGGTGATGCCTACTGGTATATGCACTGCACGCATTTGAATACGTACGTCGACATTTCCGGCTCTTTCCTCGTATTGCGCGTGTGCTCTCAGCCAGTCATTCTAAGATTGGACTTCCTTCGGGTATACGGCGCCGTCATCAACCTCCGTGAATTACTTGTGTCGTGTGAGGATCATTTTTGCGCTGCAACTGACAGTACGCAATTTCGGAAAAGAGCGCTCCGCGTTACCGATGCTTCTCCGACCCTTCCACTTCGAAGCAGCCTCTTTGTCAAAATAGAATTGGGACAGGACGTGCCTGACGCGGTAATTACAGAGGCCAATTTGTCTCTCCTTATTTCACGACAAATCTGTGTTGCCCGTGGAATCATTCAGCCTAGCAACAGGCATGTTCACCTGCTGGTCACGAACTTCAGCGACGAATATCGCCACCTAACGACACACTGCCATTGCATATTGTAAAGAACTTGCGGATGCCGAAAGTTCGTCCACGTTAGCTTCATTTTCATCGAATGGCCACCCTGACGAGGCCTTCGCGAGCACTCTCAACGTAAACGAGAGACTACCTTCAGCTCAACGAGAAAGCCTTTTGCGTATACTCGGCTCATTTCAAGACTGCTTTGCCACTACGTACGTCAAAGGTTAAACAGACACCACTTGCTCAGCATCGTATCATCACGAAACCCACCTGAGAGACCCATCCGACAACACTGCCTATAGGGTGTCGCAAAAAGAGCAAGACACTATATGTGACCAAGTCCAGCAGATGCTTCAGGACGAGGTCATCCAGCCATCGACCAGTCCCTGGGCTTCGCAAGTTGTGCTAGTAAAGAAGAAGGACGGTACGTTGCACTTTTGCGTTGATTACCGTAAACTGAACAAGGTCACCAAAAAGGACGTTTATCTTCTACACCGGATAGATGGCTCGTTGGACCGTATACGCAACGCTAAATATTTTTCCTCCGTGGATTTGCATAGCGGCTTCTGGCAAATCGCAGTGGATGAGCACGACCGCGAAAAGACGGCGTTTATTACTCCCGATGGTCTGTACGAGTTTAAAGTGTTGCCTTTCGGTCTATGCTCAGCACCAGCTATTTTCCAAAGAATGATGGATATGGTTCTCACGGGGCTCAAACGGCAATCGTGTCTTGTTTACCTTGATGACGTCGTGGTCTTTGCAGACACGTTTGAACAACACGTCCAACGCCTTCAGGCAGTTCTTCAGGCAATAAGAACAAGGGGGCTTTCTCTCAGACCCGAGAAATGTCATTTTGGATATGAAGAACTGAAGTTCCGTGGTCACGTTGCGAGCCTGGCCAGCATCCGCCCACATCCGGAGAAAACACGCGCCGTTGCCACCTTTCCCCTGCCCACAAATAAGCGCGACCTACGCTGATTTGTGCAGCTCTGTGAGTATTACAGGCGATTTGTCAAAAACTTTTCGAAGATTGCTGAACCCCTCAACAAGTTTTCCCTCAACAAGCTTACAAAAGACGATGTCTCGTTTGTTTGGGGTGCCGATCAGTGCCATGCGTTCGACACCCTCCGAAACCTCCTCCAGGCTCCGCCTGTACTGGGTCATTTTGACCAAAGTGCAGACATGGAATTACACACTGATGCCAGCAACTTTGGACTAGGAGCGGTATTAGTTGATAGGCGTAATGGCGTAGAGCGCGTGAACGCTTATGTGAGCAGAACGTTATCCCCAGCGGAGAAAAAATATTCTGCAACCGAAAAGGAATGCCTCGCTGTTGTCTGGGCCATAAGAAAGTTCCGCCTATACTTGTATTGCCGCCCATTCAGGGTAGTTAGCAACCACCATTCCCTTTGTTGGCTCGCAAATCTCAAAGATCCCTCAGATCGTCTAACATGATGAAGCCTTCGGCTACAAGATTTCGATGTCACCATCGTCCACAAATCTGGGCGGAAACACACCGACGCCGACTGTCTCTCATGTGCACCGGTCGAAAATGCCAACACTGACCTTGAAGACGACGACACTTTTCTTTCTGCCGTATCAGCTACCCGCTTGGCTGAGCAGCAACGTCATGACTCGGAGCTTATCCCACTCATTGACTACCTGGAAGGGCGCAATACCCACCCTCCTCAAAGCTTTGCACGCTCGCTACCGTCCTTTTGTTTCCCCGATGGAGTGCTTTACAAAAAGAACTTTCATCCTACACAAGCTATGTATCTGCTTGTTGTGCCAACTACTCTTCGTGGTGACATTGGCTGAGCAGCAGCGTCATGACTCGGAGCTTATCCCACTCATTGACTACCTGGAAGGGCGCAATACCCACCCTCCTCAAAGCTTTGCACGCTCGCTACCGTCCTTTTGTTTCCCCGATGGAGTGCTTTACAAAAAGAACTTTCATCCTACACAAGCTATGTATCTGCTTGTTGTGCCAACTACTCTTCGTGGTGACATTTTACGTGCGTGTCATGATGAGCCATCGTCCGGATACCTCGGCTATACGCGCACCGCAGACGCGCGCCGCTACAATCTTCGTCACCGAGAAGTTATTTTCAAACCTGGTGATGAAGTATGGGTGTGGACCCCTATCCGACAGCGTGGCTGTTCAAAAAAGCTTCTTCGCTGCTACTTCGGCCCTTACAAGGTTGTACAACGTCTCAGCGACTTTACTTACGAGGTTCTTCTAGAAGGCACTTCGAGACGTTCCCGTTTCCCCCCGCAAGCTGAAGTCATTCACGTTTCACGGCTCAAACCATACTTTTCGCGCTGTGAATCACCAGTGAGTGACTGACTTTATTGGTAACTTCGCATCTTTCTTTTTGCTTCGTCTTTTCCTTACATTCTTTCCTATTTTTCTTATTCCTCGTTTGACTCTTGACTCCACAACCAACTACGTTATTCCGCCTTACGCCATTCATTTTGCTTGCATAATAATTTTCGTCTCATTTTCTTTTTTTAGCCTTCATGTACAGCATTGAGACGATGCTTCTTGGGAGAGGGTGAATGCCACCATTCATGAACGAGCCGCTGTGGCTCATATTCGTTTTGGGCTGCGAAGAAGAGAACATTTTCGCTGCTCTGGTTCAGCTGAACTCCTGGTTGTAGGTCTTGTTTTGCTCGTGACAATATAGAAAGCGCCTTCGAGACTGCCCGTGAGGTGCAATGAAGTCACGGCTGCATTTCGTCGCATGATTCTTCGTCAGAATTGTGGGCTTCCTGGGCACTCGCTACATCATTAATAATTTCTTGATCAGTCAAGAGACAGTGTCGACGCAACACATTGAAAAATGGTGTCACAGGCACAGTGGAGAGAACAAAGAAGACGCTGATGTTTGGTGACATTGCGATCGGCCTCATAAGTTGATGACGATGGCGATGCCACTCGGGTTTCGGTTTCACTCCAGTGACGCCTTAAAACACAAGTGTTTAGTGGCAGACGTAAGCATTTGTCCAAATTAAGCAGTGAGAAGTAGAACTCTGACAAATTAATGAAGGTTTGGTCCCATAGATTAATAATGCACTATGGCCGGGACTTTGTTCCCAGTCAAATCTGTCCAAATTATACGAATTAACAGGTTTCAAATTAACAAGCTTTTACTGTACAACCATAAAGCATGTACTACATCTTCACGCTAGCTCACATGAGTTCCTTGCACCATTTCAAGTTACGGTCCTTGTTGAATACACGATGTACAGAATTGTGCCATTGAGCATTACTGCAACATCTGCATGCAGGCAACTAACTAATGCAATTATAGCAAAGTCATAAACCATAGACTTTTTGGAATTGATCTAATGTACTAACATGGGGGGGGGGGGGCTAGTTCATGTGGCACTGCAATCGAAATCTTTCTGATTTTCTGATTGAGAATCCATGTTGGATACCAGTTGATGCGATCATTCATTCAGTTTATAACACAATCCTAGGTGTTACTAAGACAATGTTCTCAGAGCCACACTAACTTTTGTAATTCTGATGTTCCAGTCATTAAGAAAAAGTAAGCTTCTCCTAACGAGACCTTTTACAGAGAATTCAGTTTGAAAGGAGCAGTATAGCTCAGCGCATTCACACAAGAAATGACTGAAGAAAGGGTTTGGACGATTTTCAAGTAGTAACGACAGTTGCTGACAATGTTTTTTTTTTTTAAATAAGGATGTGCGAATAGTAAATTTCAGGCTTCAAGTGAATACGAAGAGAATTGTTTGAATAGTACAAAACACATCTTTAAAGAATATTTGTCGTGACCCAACCAACCTCCACAATATATACATATATTTTTTATAGGAGCAAGGCAGATGCAAATGTCACTGTTTTTGGTTCAAAATAAAGAGAAAAATAAAGACGAGGCAACTCTGAATAGTAGCAGTACTTTGATCTCAACAGGATGCATGTGACAACCAGCAAAGACGGTTACATTTTAAACTTGACCACACTTAAAACACAGAAGCCAGTATTACAAGCCCCTAAACTGAAAAATTAGTTATCGATATCAGAGATACTTGATATGTTCAATTAATTTTGAAGTGAAAATTCACAGCAATACGGATTTTTCCCGGATAGATGTTATGACAGTGTAGCATTCCTATGCTGCAGTGAAACCATGTTTACAGAAATCACATGCATTTATATACACGCCTATTAATTTACATCAAACACTTAAAAATTTCTGTTGATTTAAATTCGTGTCAAAGCAAATTCAAATGCCATAATATTGGTTCCGGCATCCGAAGTGCTCGGATAGTTGCACATGTCTAGTTTTAAGACCTGAAAAGCTGCCAGAAATAGCACAAATATAGGGCACACTGACCGCCAAGGTTGACAAGTGCAGCGCGGTAGACGTTTGGGGCGGCCCCTCTCCAAAGGCCCCGGATCCCACCTTCAGACGCGATCTTCTTGAGTGCTTGCCAAGTGCCTGTCACCCTGAAGGCAAAAAGAAAAAAATTTTTACTTGCTTTTTTTTTCCTTCTTTCTTTTCCCCCTACTCATCATGTTATATTCATTGCATTTCTTAGAACATCACCAAAAGAGGAATCTCTATATAACTTTGCTAAAGCATAACACCAAACATTCATATCACTCATGAAGAAATTCGCGATTACAATGTGCACGCATAATCTTGAACATAAGTTGGCCTAAAACATAGTACTATCTTGAACAAGTAAAGATTTATTAGCATTATAGCTGTGCGAATAGCAAAAGTTCGAGTGAGAAGTGAATTCTGATATACTTCAAAGCCAAATTACAGAAGAAAAGTTGCAGAGAATCCATCCTAAGCATCTTCTTACGGGGTATAAAAAGTGTTACTTTTGGCTAGATTGATGAACCAGTGGAAGGGTGTTGCTAAGTCGTCTTCCCTAGACGTCTTCTAAAGAATGAGAAAATTTCGGGGCCAGATTGCGTTTATTAACGTGACTTGGTTTGGCCAAAGTGGTGTTGACACATTGGTGCCGGTGTCAGTGCCTTTGGGAGGCGGCGTCACTTGTTCTCTGCGTTTGGCTTTTGCGGACGCCAGACGAGTGCGAGTGCTCAATAAATACCCCCCCCCCCCCCCCCATCGATTTTTTTCAAAATCACAATTTAAGTTTATTTAGCTTTTCTACCTATCTAATTCCATATATATTCACTGAAAACTATCTAGAAAGGCTGCCAAAAATTTCTTGTGCCTGCGAACGTGGCAAAAATCATTCTGAAAATCACATAAAAAAAAACTGCTTTTAAAAAAATTATAATTCCCCAAGCGCACAACCGGGTGGCGTCATTTTGTGCTCGCCAGAAAAAGCACTTCTCTCCGTTCAAATTCCCAACTTCAGCTAGCTTGTCCACTCAAAAACAAGCATGCAAAAAGCAAATGTTTGAAATCCGCTTCGAGGCTTTTTATTGGCAATATGTTCACCAGGCTGCTCCAGCCCACCTCACCATCAATTGTTACTCCAAAAAAGCATTGTCTGCTGCTTTCCCATCGTGCAGTCCCACTTATTGAAAATTCTGCTACATAGTGACGTGTTCGCATTCATTTGGTGTGTGTGGGTCAAAAATCATTTAAAAAATATTTATACTTTAGTTCAGCAGCTGGAAGCGGAAGCTCATTTTTCAAATTGCGATAGCACACCGCATACAGCTCAGACGCATGCCTCGAAACGACTCGCGGTAAGAGGTTCTGTTTATCACCACTTTAAACCTCACGACAAAGACCACCATGGGACGACCCTTTGTATTCGTGATCGAGCATGACATGCTTTGAAACTTCAGGCACTACAGCCACGCACAATTTATTAAGCTTACTGCTGGGAGCCATAGCTAGGCCCAATTCCACTCATGGCGTTGATTTACGAGACTCATCAGAACTTTGTGGGCAACATCGTGCTAGCAGACATGCCAAAGCAAAGAAGCGGCAATGTGCTTTGTTTGCAAGTAACGAATCGCATCGCCCGTGTGGCGCCTATGGGATGCACATTTTACGCATTTGCAGCGGAACCTCCGGCCAAGCTCGTCGCACAGTGACCACTTGGAGCACCAGGAGAACCAGCTAGCAGTTTCACTCATCCGCACCCCAAAACTGAAGACCAAGCATGCTGCACGCAGAATTATATTGTCGTTATATTTATTTTCTCTTCTTATAAATTGTTATATCTATTTTCCAGAAGTTCAAATACTTCATACAGTAAAATTCTAATGTGAATAAAATCAAACGGCAAACACTATTAGAAAAATATTCAATATTTCAAATATTATCACACTGCTACTTAAAACAAGAGGTGTGCGAACTTCTGGAAAGCAGATATAACAATTGTGAGGAACCGGTTTATTCAGCGCACAGCAATCTACGCAGAAAGGCACTGTCCCATCTTTCTTTTGAACAAGAACAACTGGGGATGACCAGGGACTCGAGGAAGGACGTATGATGTTGCATTGTAGCATGTCTGAGACGTTCTCCTCGATGATCTTGCGTTCTGCCTGAGACACGCGATATGGACGCCAATGTACAATACGAGAGCCGTCAGCCTGGATGCCGTGAGTAGCGGTGGTAGTCATGCTGAGGGCGGGCAAGTTCATGTCAAATAGAAAACGGTGTCTATTCAGCAGGGCGAGCAAATCTTCAGTTTGATCAGGCGTTAAGTCAGTGCTTATGGTTGGCGACACAGGTGTGAAAGAGGCATTGAATGGCAGTGATTGTGACCTTGGGACATCGTTGTGGTTGTTGTTCGGAAGAGTAACAATCGCAACAGGCTCACTATCGACCACGCAAGATACTGTGGAGCCACAGAGGAGCAGTACACACTCGGTCGTTTGATTTATCGCGGTTAGGTACGTACACCCATCGAAGAAGCGAATAAGCCCCGGTGTGATCACAATGCCCCTACGTAGGGTATGACCGTAAGGGAGAATCAGTACGTCGCCATCCACAATGTCGGTGCAATTAACACTTATAATTTCTTCGATGTATGGTCGAAGTACATAATCTGACTTGGTGACAAGGCGCATGCGTCCATCTTGTTCAAGCGGAGAAGAGTCAGTGGCATTTAGATGCAGGAGGCGCTGATGACATGATATGAAAGCAGATGCAGAAGACAAGAAATCCCACCCCAGAATGAGAGCGTGGGTGCACTCACGAAATACCGCGAAAACGATGTGATGGCGAATGCTTTCTATGCAGACACGAACGGTACACTGTGCAAGTGGATGAATGAGAGCGTTGCTCGCTGCACGGAGAGGTGGGCCGCCATAAGGCGTGTTGACTTTTCGAAGGCAGAAACAATAATCAGCATGAATAATCGAAATGGCAGCGCCAGTATCTACAAGAGCCTCATATGTACAAATTCTACAAACAATACTATGAAATTCGATGGCCGCTCTGGAGGAATTGTTAGCTGTCCAGTGGATGCAGTTTCCCCTCCCAAAACTGCATTGGAGAGTTTTCCGCCTGGGCATTCGTGGAATGGGAGGCGGGCCGCAGAGGCGACACTGAACGGCGACCTGGCGAAGGCGACCTGCGGCGAGACGTACGGGAATTCCAACGCAAGTCAGTATGGTAGGTAGGAGACGGTGAATGCTAATAGGACGATCGGGAGGGTGGTCGTAAGTAGTTCAGGGTCGGATGGAAGCTTCGATGTTCTTCAGGAGCGTAGCAGCATTGCTCGTCTTGTAGGCGCCTTCGACAAAACCGAGCGATATGTCCTCGATAGCCGCAGTAGTAACAGGTTGGCTGAGGTGGGCGCTGAGGTGCGTAGTAAGGCGGTGCACGCACTGGCAGTGACAGCGAAGCCACAGGCATATGGTCTGCTGGTGTAGGCACAGAAACGGTGAGTGCAGCAGAGAGCGTGGCAACTTCACGTACGTGCGCATCTGGCGCACGCAGGGACCGTTGAAACACGTCGGACGCGATGTGGACGCGATCTCTTGTTTAATATGGTCTCGCAAGCTATCTTTTTCAAAAGGGAGAGTAACTTCCGCAGCGCAGGAAGAGCAGCGCCCGTGAAGCTCTTCACGAACCATGTCGCGAATAAGCGCATGCAAGTCGAGGGGTGCAGGCAAACGAATGTCGGTGGCATCGTAGCAGAGGCGAAAAGACTGAAGCTCGTCAAGTCGCTGACATATGGTTATCACGTCTTGGGTGGTGGCAGGATTTTGCGTGGTGAGAGCGTTAAAGGCCATGGTATTAATGCCTTTAATAACGTGGCGTATTTGGTTGTTCTGAGACATGACAGTGTTAACACGCTTGCACAGTGCAAGGACATCCTCAATATAAGAGGTGTAAGATTCACCCGGCAGCTGCATGCGTTCAGCGAGCTTCTTCTTTGCTGCCTCAGTGCGAACTGTAGGGGCACCAAAAATTTAACGAATTTGCTGCTCGAAAGTGTCCCAGTCGGGAAGATCCGGGTGATGGTTCCAGAACCAAGTTTTGGCAACATAGGACAAGTAAAATGGGACACTGCGCAACTTCTGTGGACTGTCCCACCTGTTCAAATCGCTGACGAGATTGTAGTTCTTGATCCAGTCTTCGACATCATCGCCTCGGAGACTGGAAAACACAGGTGGATCACGCAGGCGAACGTTATTGGGCGGAGAGGGTGGCAGTGGCTGCAGTAGAACGGCGATGTTGGATGGGCCAGGGTTTTCTTGGGCCGCCATGGCTGGCGGTTGTATGCGACGACCTGAGCGGAGCTCCAGCGAGAACGGGCGAGAAAACTAGGGGGAACAAAAAGCATCGTCCACCACTTGTGAGGAACCGGTTTATTCAGCCAGGCTCGAGCTAAATCACACTGGTGATGATATTTACAGATGATGAAGATGTACAGGTGATGATGATATCTAAAGAGAATGAAGAGTCATTCGCTTGTCGCGCTCACACAACTTATAGTAAGACAAAACATAACGACAATAAGTCGGCATGCAGATTGCTTGGTCTTGTGTTTTGGGGTGCCAACATTTGTGAAAAAAATTCAACATCACTGTCGGGCAAACAAGATGACCTCCAAGGATGTAAAAGTGTACTGATGCATGCTATACACCCCCGAAAAGCTGTAATTTATACTTCCTCTAATATACACCCTTTAGAGAATACATTTGTGCACCATAAAAGGTGCAACGTGTACAAATCAATGGCATTTCTGAAATAAATTCTAATAATGCTCCATACAAAAGATCGAAGAGAGTTCATGAGTACATTATTAACTGAAGCATTCTGATGAAATTTTGCTTCCGACGCTTCAAATTTTGCATGGGGGTCAGAAGCTTCAAAGTAAAGAGGCAGCTAATTCATTCACCTGGGTGGCAGTCCCATGAGAGCACGACGACCCTCTGTCTGCATCTGCACTTTGACCAGGTCTGTTGGGCTGGCCAGGAATTGGCCCATGCCACCCGCCGCCACCCCCACGAGGACAGATTTCCTGCGGATAAAGGAAGGGGGAGGAATGGAAACCTTGTCACACATTATCTTAAGACTGCAGTGGCCAGCCCAGCATAAGGAAACTCATGCAGACACTACGAACTATGGGAATCGAGACAAGCAAAGTTTTTGGCGAGCTCGCAAGACTCACAGTGCACCATGACAACAAATAAACTTTAGATACTGGCCACAGAGGCATCCCGCAACAGTCATTAGTCATGGTGGTGTTCCTCACACGACAAAGGTGAGCTCTATTCAGAAGCGATATTCTCAAGCAATCAACGTCGGCGATACAATCACCTCTAGCCTGATTTTGCGTGCTTTGGTATTGGACACGTTGCACAAGAAGAACCGTTCAATGGGCTCGTCTCTGTTGAACGCACCTAACATGAGTTGCTTGTAGCTATGGCATAATGATTGTAGCCTTAATTCAAAGGAATTAAAGAGAATGAGAAAACACCTCTTGCATCGGCAAAAATAGAAGCCACAACCTTCTTAGTGCATGTGACGCCCTCTGGCAAAAAGAGTGTTCCCCACTCACCACCTTGGCTACGAGTGGCGCTGGCCAACACTCCCAGAAATTAAACACTCATAAATACCCAATCAAGGTGGACGAGAAAGCAGCCTCTATCGTGGCTCAATCGGCAGAGCATCAGATGCATAATTTAAAGGTTATTGTTTTGAATCCCACAAACAGAAAGGGTACTCTACGTCATAATAATTACATCAACCCCTTCTTTTTACGTAACTGCTCGCATTGATCATCGTCATAAGGTTGGTATTAAGACATGACGCATCAACCATTTATACAATTCATTCAGCTCCCGAACGTCAGAAAGTTGGAATCGCCTTTCCCAATCTGTCACCGAGGTTACTGATAATTTCAAGTTCAAGGCTGCTGTAACTAACCTGCTGTTGTCATAAGGGTATTCTTTTTATATGCTTATGATATTTTGGGGCAGCCCTTTTGTTTTCCTTGTTTTTACATGCTGCTGCAACGATCAATTCTTTGGTTCATAGGCACATGCTTGTGAGTGTTTTGTTCATGTTGATTACTTGTTATAACGAGATCTTTTAATGGTTCGCATTCTTAATCAACTGCTTTTGTTCTTCTACTGTGCACTGTTTACTGTTGGTTTGCTTCATTTCATCTATGTAACCTCCAAGTTTTTGCTTTTCTTTTTGAAGTATATTGTATTAAAAAGGTAACCCCCTCTCCTCTTTAATGTCCTAGAGCCCTGAGTGTACTGAAATAAATAAATTAATAAAAAGAATGATTCACGTTGCTTACACTCTTCTTTGCTTAATTGTCTGTTAGTTTCAGTAATTAGATACACTGAGACACATAGCTGAAGGTTTTTTCGGTGCTACGTGGAAAAAGCTTGGCACAGCATGAGAAAGCTGTTGGCTGCAAATGCCATGTCCCACAAAACCTCGTTAGAGCGGTAATATAGCTGACTGCAATGGTTTCTACTGAGACAGACCTGCAGCTGACAAAGGCATGCTGCATTGCAGAAAAGCATGCGAAGAAAGCTTTGTTCTGCCCAAGTTGCTATGATCACATTTGTTTTGGCAGGACTAAGGATGGTTAGTTTTTGCTAAACAGTAACATGACATGAACTGCCAATATTTCATTATGCTCCGAGGTCCCAAAAGGGCATGTGTACATTTATGTACCATAAAATCTCGAGCAAGCACCCCCCTTTCCTCTGCCCCCTATGCAGCCAAAGATAATCCAACAGGATTCGGCCCTTGCTCGATCACAGATAAAAATCCAAGATGGCAGCCCTGACACCATCTTGATATTTGGAGCCGTGACCAAGCAAGGACTCCCCCTCGCATTCTTCCAATGAAATGCAAAGAGCCGATACTTTTTAGAGCACTATTCACGTTCACTTTAAAGAAGTATTATTATCAGAAAAACTTAAGGACACCATCACCATTTATATTTTTGCATCCCCACAGTTGTGCTAAAGGTGCCAGTGCCCAACTTCTTAAATTTCACAATACTATAACGTACCCAGTTATTTTTGCAGAAGTTGTTGATTTGAGACATACACCAAAGTTCAACATAATTATACTTCAAAAGGCCACGTAAACAACATTAACACAGCCAGAGATGTGATTTCACATTTGAGAAGTGTTGTTCTAGCGATCTATTTTAGCGTTATATTTATCACCAATGTATGCCTGGCCCATGTAACTCCGCATAAACATGCTGAATTTTGTTGTCTAGTAAGCACTGACCTCTGAATCATAGAAAGCTCCCCTGTGAATGCCCTTTCCCTTTTTGGTTGCTTTCACATTCAGTTATTTTTGACTCTCATAAATTTGATGCCAAAGATTCTTTACAACACACTTCATTTTTCTACCAGTGCGAAAGATAGCACATGAAATTTGGTATCCTGAACTTGACAAATTTATGTTTTCAAAAATCGAAAGAAAGAGTCTTATCAAGGTTGTCTTGAGTCAAGCGTGAATGACCTGCCAAAGTGTATGTACAAAAAAAAAAAAGGATAGCAAGTGGTGTTTTTAGCACCTATTTGATGCGACAAGATTGATTGAAATAGTCTTGCGCACACCCCATATAACAACCAAATTACTTTTTTTTAAAACTTGGAGGACGTTAGAGCTTCTTGTTGAAAAGCACAAGTAATAGTGTACTCAGGACTTACGAGCCTTGCATTCTTTAATGCCAGCCTGGCTTTGGTTCTCAGTGTATGCCTCAACCGTGCCGTAAAGAACAAACGCCTCTGCACATAACATTGCTGGTCTCAAACTATCCTCGAATGCCTACTGAAAGTACAGTTTTAAGTGCCCACAATGCCATAGTTTTTCCTTTCGATCAGCGAAAGACCTACTACACATATGCAAGGCTACACACAAACCTACGCAAGTGCTCACTTTCTTGATGAGTTTGCTGATAATGACTATTAAGTATGTCTAAGCGTTTTCGTTAAGGCTGGACTTTTTAGGGCCTCCTCACCAGGTCTGACTATTTTGAACTGACGAGCGCTATGCATACACCGGCTGTTCACAATCACGTCTTCCAAAACTCGAAATGCAACGTGCCGAGAAATGGGTAAAATCTGCCCAGTGAATGAGGGTATGATGTACAAAAGGGAATGGTTTTATGTAGATGGTAGTTTGACGCCACTCCTCTGCTTAGACACCTGTGCTCTGCCGTCACCCACAGTGGCACGTGGCACTGCAATAATTACATTTGACTTGACGTGTAATTCAAGTAATTTGTTGCTTGAATAAGTGAATAAAACTTGTGACCAATAATAAAACACACAAATGGAATGTGTACGTGTTCTCTTTCTTATATTTATATTGTGAATCACAGCCAGGTGAGAGACCAATCTGCTTCTACTTCCCATGCATTCGTATTCTCGCACTTAGTGCATCATGCAAACATCAACTCATTTAATACTACTTTTCTGCCGCATTGCAGCACTCATTAGATTCATTTATCCTCCCGCATCTAACCAAATGTTTCTGAGGCACTGGCTGATGATACCGCTGTTCTCGTGTCCACACAAACGTTGCAGCTCTCATGCTCAGTAATGGGTTGAAAGCCAAGTGATTGGCGAAGCCGCATTCGGCACAGCTTGCAGAGATGAAGCGCAGGGAACGCCGACACAACACCACTTGCATCTCTGGGGCTCGACCTGGTTCGGGCAGGTCATGCCCTCGCAACCTTCCTTGCGCATGACGTGCTGATGTGTATGCACTTAGTGATCCTCCTGCTCACGCACCGATGAGGGCAGGAAGGAGGTTTGGCTAGTGAAGGATACACAGGACGAGCGGCAAGGGCTTCATGATCGCTTTCTCATATTATGATTTTGCACCATTTCAAAACATTGTTTTTTCGGCTTCTAATGAACTGATTTAAAAAATTCTTGTGGCAGGAAGCTCTTTATTGGACACACAAGTTCCAGCTTCGAACTGAAATTTTTTCTTGTCACCTGGTGAGAGGCCCTTTAAAACACCCACCCGTTGCGCAATTAACATGTTTTGATGCCTGGCACGCAATATTAGACACGTTAAAGGAAAGTCTTTACACTACACGACACACACATAGCATTTTTTTTTTTCCAGAAGCAATTTCAATCCAAGGCGTGGCTCTGTCTTCAAACACCCACTTGCCAGGCAGGAGGCCTGGGTTAAATTCTCATTCAAAGCAAAAATATTTACTTTTTATTTCATTTTCATCTTTCTTGATTTTTCGGCCACAGACAGGCTCATTTTTCACTAATAACCAATGACCCTGACACTGAAACTTCAGCTAATTGAGCTCTCCTTATGCTCTCATATTAAAATCTTCTTAGTCGAACACTATCGCTACAACTAAAACACTATTGCTGCGAAATCTACGCAAAGTAATGACAAGCGTTACATCAGTTTTTGAAGCAATAGCACATTACTGTTCTGGCTATCATTGGAAACAGCCTACACCAATAGGTACGAAGGCAGTTTCGAGTGCTAGTAATGACATGCAGCTGGACTTGATGTCTACTTACAGTAGAAAGAAAGAACTGAAAAAAAAAAGGCATATATTTATAGCTATTTTCGAAACTGTTCATGTGAAGACTGAAACAGAAAAAACACAAGGTGGCTTACATTATGCATATAAGAAGGTGCCACCGCAGCATCACAAGCACAAGCAAGCTTCCCATAATGAATTTCAGCAGCAAAGTACTCTGCCAATGAGCAAAGCTACACAATGTTGTCTCTTATCCTCACTCATCTCCTCACAAGCACTGCTGCTTGCTGCTGAAGTATGGCACTCCTTAGACGTAGTGCAAATAACATACCTCAAAGGTGCACTGCTTCACAATCCAACGAGGTCGCAAGGCACATTTTTTCATACCTAAGTCTCCGCATTTTTCGATAAAAGCTTCAAAAGTTCATGAACACTCAACGATAAAAATTTTTACAATCCAGATTTATCCAATAAACTCCGCTTTCAATAGCCAGTATGACCCTGTCCTGTTTTTTGTTGTTTTTTTTATCAAAAGGGCATGTTCAAAGGGGTCATTGATACATCAGCCCCGATTTCGCCAGTATAAACATTTTTTAACATCCATAGCATCTCACAAACCACACCCTGCCTAAGTTCAACAAAGGGCTAGTCACGCCTGGAGTGCGATACAACAGTGAGAAATACTGTATTCGGGTGGCACTGGCACCAGACGACATCGAATATACAAACAGCTTAGAGTGTGCTTGTGTCTACAACAATTTTAAAGGGGCCCTGCGACACAAATTAAGCGTGTGATTTTAATTGCTTTTCCTCAAACTGTGGAATGCAGTCATATCAATGCACGAGAAGCAATGGAAAAAACAAAGCTGTTATCATTTAATTTCAACGAAGAAACCACACTGTTTCCGGACTAGGGCGACACACAATGGCTATTTTCCTTAGTGGAAGTGACGCTTCATCACGTGGGAATGACAACATAGGCTGGTCATTTTGATTGGCTGGAAACTGCAAGTCACCCACAGTAATCATACGGCATGCAGTGACTGCAACCAGCCTTGAACATCAGTGGGAGAGTGAAGTGTGAAAGGGAATGCTTTTCTCGTCTGCTGGAGTTTTGAAGTTTGAATGTTGATAACCTCTGTTACCGAATTCATCTGAGCATTCCACACTACATACGCTCCAGCACTAGAGAATTCAGAAAAAAATTATTGCGGGGCTCTTTTAAGGTTGTAATAAGCACTGACATAGGTGTTTTGTATTCAAGTGCACTTGTGTGCATATGCTTGTGAATTCAAATTTTCCAGACAACTAAAACATGCCTCGAATGTTAGGATGTTTTTGCATTCAGCTAGCACTTAATCTCCAACATATTGAAGTACTGAAAATAGTACAAAATTAAAATCCTAATTTCGGAGAACATTATATTTACAAAATGAACTCTGAAAAACATCGAATATCCACCAGAAAAACTGACTCCAATACACAACCAGATTTAAAAAAAAAAAAAGTAATAGGCTCCGAAAACATTAAACTTGTGTGCTACTTACTACCCATGGTTTACTATGCCGTCTTTTTAGGTTTGGTACTTGACAAAATGAAATAGAAAGCACTCCCCAAGATGTATCGACCAGGAATATCTTGAGAGCACTAGTTTGCATTAACTAATATTCGCTAGCTGCGTGAGGCCAGAAAGCAAGAGTCCAGAAAAAAACGCAAAAGGAAATTACGGCGATACCGTCTTACACACCTGCCAATTTAGGTCAGAATTTTCCTACTTTGCACAGCTAAAACTTAAGCATTGCACTACACTAAGCCTCATAATAACAAAGCTGCATGTCACACCAAAATTACGTTTATTTTATCCTAAATTTAATTTTAAAGGTATATTACTGACACTGTACCTATTGCAAGAATATTTTTGGTTTACTTCGTTATAACATATTTCGTGATATCCATGTTCGTTACGTCGAGGGTTCTAATGTATATTGAGCAAAGATTTTTTTTTCTGATCCATAGCAGACATGCCAACTTGGCAACCAGTGAAGCTGTGCAAGTGAGTTCACACGCACTTTGCAAGTGATTTGCAAGTGTTTGCTTGCTGGCTCATGGCCTCGCTCTAATACAGCAGCAGACGTTGCTATTTCATTAGAGCACAATTATGGCTGGCTATTATTCATTGCGACTCAAATAAAGGCTGTGTTGCAGCACAGTGTCGGCTTTCCATGTCGCAGCTGTTCAAACTCATTTTCGACCTCTTATATGGTCTATATAATGGCATGCAACAAAGGAAAACTAAGAATCACTCGTTTACAAAAGTGTCCATGTAAATTGCTCTCGCTTCGAATGTGGTATAAGTAAGGCTTCTATTATAGGTGCTCATCGAATTGGTGTTTCATCAGATTTGCATTCGATAATGATTTGAATATCACACACTTGCCTTCAGACCCATTTGGAAACTCACTGCAGAACTTTCCTTGAAGAGCTTCACTGCCTCATCAGTTTTTCAGCAATGAAAGAGTTCTTCCAAAGACAAAGAGGCAAGTGCTATCAGCTATCCATACACACAAAATGACTAGCAGTGCAAGTTCCCTCCTAGAGACCAACTTCCGACCGAGACAGGCGGACGAGCCCCTCACCAGAGGGGCGCGCGTGTGCCGTCCTTGTTCCGCAGGAACCGGTCCCTCATGCTCTCGTAGAAGTTCATCCGGCAGCCGCTGTAGACTGAACACACGCACACACACAAACACATGCACAGACAAGTGTCACCGAGTCAAATAAAAGGAACAATCTGGGCCAATAGCCTAGAGACCACAGCACCCAACTAAAGAAAGTTCGACACCATGCATTAGATAGGTGGTACAGGCGCACGTAGGATGTGCCATTCAACTTCAGCCGTGTGCCTGCTGAAAATAAGAGCTAAATTTAATCAGCGACTGTGGTCTTTAGACTTTTGCTCATGACTGTGCAATGACCAAACAAGACGTTATCATTGATCAAAAAGCAAACCCTAGCCTTCAAAAAAAACTTTTTTTTTCTTATACATCAGCTTCTACAAAGCATGTCACAACACTATTAAGCTGTATAGGCTGTTTATTGCCATATTCTCTAAGTGCTTCTCCGTTTATTATGCAAATTCAAAATGGTTAACAGCACCAATATGTTTAACCTCAATTACCCTAACAACAAGTCAAAATCAAATTTGCAAGGAGGAACACCTAAAAAATACCTACCGTAGTTGCATAAGTGGCATCATTAATAATGTTCACAACTGCATATACTTACAGTTAGGCTGAAGTAACAAAAGTGGCATTATGGTAGGGATGGTACACTGAGGCGCTCTAATATCCTCAATACTATTAATACAATAGTACTAATTACAATAACTTGAACATCCAACACAACGTTCTTTATCCTAATATAAAATTTAACATTAAGCATTTCACATTGCACAAAAGATTTATGCGAGCATACACCCTCACCGTACCCTGCATTTAACTTTAACATCGACCCCAAATCTTTCTATTTTCACTCAAGTATCTTCAAAGCCCTTAAAATGAATACTGGCAGTACTTACATCTCTGGGGGTACGATTCTAAGACAAATCAATAGGATAACTGTTTGCCCCGGTGATTTCGAGAGGTTAAGCGATTACTTACTGAGGTGCCGGTAGATGGCTGGCGGCAGCCCCTTCCACAGCTTCAGCATACCTTCCTCTCTCACTGCAATTGTGAATGGCGCATGAGAAACCCTCGCAGCTTAAAGCACTGCAGGCGTACGTTTGTGTCCACCTTTGAAAATCTGACTCACTTTTTATGTACTGTAGTTGAAGAGAAATGAACCACAAGAAAATAGGAGGGATGCACAGGATGGATTCATACAGCGTGCTTGCTGGAAAAGAACACCCTCGTGATCCAGCAAGCTCACACACGAGCAAGTGAAACTCCCACACCTGTGCAGAACACAGGCACCTAATCGAACACTGCTCACTGTACTCTACCCTAAGATAATGGGCCATTGCTTCTCTCCCACGCAAATGGCGACCGTTCCTTCCAGACATAGGCAATGTGCCCTATTTCACATATCAAGTGGACACTGTGGATGCAATGCAAGAAGTTCAGCCAGCAAAATGTGCAAGTCCAGACCATAGAGTTTCCTAAAATCAACTAAAGGGGACTCTACTAAGATCATTCAGCAACCATGAGAATTATGGGTAATACATGGTACTTGCAGGCCTTTAATCGCTAAAGCATGTTGCCGGGCTAGTTGGTTGGGGTTCATCATTTATATAGAAAATATAAATTTTTCGCTGTGTGTGTGTGTCTCTCTCTTTTTGTGTCCTTGTCATGGTGCGCTATACCCATATAAATGATGAACCTTTAATCGCACTTGTGGCTTTATTTATTGCTGCGTTTCAGTTTTCTTTCAAATAAAAGAGCAAACCGTTGTAAAATTCATAACTGGATTTGAGTTGGTGAGCCTAAATTAAGGTGGTGAAGTGTAACTGATAAATTACAGCTGATTGTTGTTTCGCCACAAAGCAGCCCCAAGCAATGCAAAGCCAGAAAGAACGCAAAGTACGAAGACTAGACGAATCCATGTACCACCTGTCACTCCCATGGTCACTGAAGCGCCATGCGTTGCAACTCCAATAGACACTAGTGCCAGAGTTCCCTCTAGTGAATATACCATAGGAAACCTTATGTAAGCACTGGACCTTGACCTCCAAGGTAGTGCCAGTGGGAGATTTCTCCAGCACTTTGTTAAACAGTAAAAAATCGCAGTGTGTGCATGAACTAAAAGCAGACTGCGGCTTTTGTGTCCAATCGGCATATGCGATCGGCATATTCAAGTAGGAAACATCGGTCCATCGCTGCACCCTTTGTGCCTCCCCAAAATCCTCTTCTACCCAATGCCGTGATGAGCGCCAGCATCAATGTCACCACCAGTGTAAGCATTAGCACCCGATGTCTCACATCTAAACATGCATAGTTGCCTTTAGCGGGAGATGCTGTAATCTTTTTTAGAGGTTTGTGGAGGCTGGATTTCATAGTCTCCAAGTAAACTGCTTCCTTTCTTCTGAGTGTTGTTCTCGAGGCCGCTTCGCCTGCCTTCTCATTGTTGCTGGTGCCGACTGCCTTGGTGCAATCGCTGCGAGACGGTTGCGCCATAGGCACTAGCGCCAGCATTCTCTTTAGGGTATTTATAAAAACTTTATGGTCGATGCACCTCCCACTTAGATTTCATCGTCATAAATGCGGCCTCTACGATCAGCTCTGGCTGCTCGCTACCAGAAGTAGTGGCGGAGGCCAGGATACGAGAATACAAAGATGCAAGGCGATCAAAAGAACCTGTCGACAACAGTATAAGTTATGGGGTTTGTTGAATCCTGAGTTTTCGCGCACAGACAGCATCAATGGTTAACCCATAATCGGACACTTAAGCCGGAATATCTGTGAAACGAGCTCCTTAACACTATGGTGTAAAAGTGTAAGCTCTGCTCACAGAACCTCTGTGCACCTGCGCTTCACCAGTGAAAGATAGTTGTGATAGCTGGTTTATGTTTTAAGCGTACATACTTTTCTCAGCTAACATAAATCCTATGTGTATTAATGAGTTAAAGGTTTCTCATCATTACCTGAAGGATTAAGTTTGGCTGAGCAGCTATGTCAGAGTCCCTCACAAAATTTACCATTACGTTCAAGTTCCCGACCTAAGTATACAGTGACACAATCGTGTGTCTGTGGGAAGTCAACTATATGAAACACTCTAGAACTGCTTGACCTTACCAAAATGAGTAAACACAATTGAATGGAGCATATTATCTGTAGGATGGACAGCGACGCCTGTGGGCAAAGCTGGTATATTTTCTTAGATTGTAACCAAGCGTAGTTAGTGTTCCTGCCAGCTAATTCTTATCAGTCAACATTCTGTGGTGAATGCTGTAATTAAGCCAGAAGGGTGCCTGATAATAAATTTGTATACTTTTCTTAAATTTTCTTTCTTTTTAGAAATAAGTAAAGATGCCAGGACTGTCTACTTGCCAATGCCTGCAGCAGTTTTGAAGAATCCTCGTCGGTCAACTATTTGACCCTTGGCGGTCAGCTCCCCTTGAACTTGCAATCGCGTCTTCACGATGTCCAGTGGATAGGTCGCTGCATAAGATAGCGAAAAAAAGAGCAGTACATATGTGTTTCCACAAACGTAATTAGTACTTCCACCTTTAAAAAGCCAGCAGCCATCATCAGAACAAACCCTTCAAATCGAGATTTCTTGCAAAATCCAAAAGCACTTATTTAATTTGACCATAACAATGCTGTTTGATTCCAGGCCCCTTTTTTCATTTCTCTATCAATGTGGTTTTCGAAAATTCTCACACAAGACATGCCAACGATGACCTGGGTTCCGAGTCTGAAACTTAGAATCAATGCCTTTGGGTTTACCTCTCGTAACACAATTTACTAAAAATAGCTTAACTAAGCACAAATACTGAAAGCATTAAAATGAACCTGAATTCTTCGTTTTAATGGGAAACAGTTTGCAATACCACCTCAGTATCATGTGGTGTTTCACAAAACTCTGTCGACATACTTCTTTACCCCATATCCTAAGACTTCCCAACTGTGCTTTTGCTCTTCTGAATAAATTTCTTTGTAAACGAGAGTGCCTTGTACTTTCACACATTTAGTATTTCTGATCACCAGATTAGATTAAATCTATAAGTTATTGATGGTATTATTGGCACATGCAATTTAAGACTGAGAAAAACCAGGTTTTTCAAAGCTGTATTGAAAATTTCTATTACTGATGGTAAGCGACAGACACAGGTACACTTGCGAACAGCATCGTGTGCATTTCTTTCTTTCTCTTTGAGATCTTGCTGCTTGATGAGAAGTGTAGCGCAGGTAGAGCCTCAGATCTGTCACTGCAACATTCGTCCACTTCACTCTTATCTACCCTGTTTCACATCCTGCAAGACACGCCTACTGCACTCTGTGGATGCTTCAGATTAGACAATATCGAGAGATACAGCGTGCCTTCGGCAGAAATCTAGGCGAAAATTCTCGCCGGATCGGTGGCTATCTCTAGTCGTAGCATAGATGTTGAGAAAAAAACGAGTCAGTCGGTGCCTCTCATTGTGTCTGATGCGTACTAGCGATTAAACCGCAGGCTGATGACGTTCCAACAAAAATTATTGGGCAACTAACTACAGCAAACGAAGGACCAGTAGCGGGCCCAAAATGTTGATTGCGTGTATGCTTCGTTGAACCATGTGTGAATGATCACTTCCTTCTGACCACAAATAATTCACGTGCATGACTAGCTTGAAGAAAACCAGCTGTTCAGGGAGAGTTGTCATGAGTTGCTAGCTCTTATGCAGCCCTCCCCGGAACAGCTGCCTTCTGGGGCTGCTGGCAGGCAGAGAATGGCTTGTGCCAATGGCATTTTGATGGAAATTAGCTTTCATCATCAACTGAATAAATTCTTGAATTTTCTTTTCTTCCCAAAAGCCAGGAAAATAATAGTGGCCAGTGTTGTATAAAACAACAAAGACTACGACGTGTGATTGGTCTGCAAAATTTGAGCAAGAACAGGGCATCAGCGAGGCCTAAAAGGTTTATCCCTGATCAAAGCAGCTGTGTAGAATCAAGCAAAAGCCATACCTATGCAACCCCAGATGCAATTCAGTTCTCATTAATTTTAATCAATTTCTAGGGCTTTATATGCTGAAACAACAATACAAATATGAACTGAGTGACAGTGGGGCACTCTTGCTCAATTTTGACTATTTGGGCTTCTGTAATGTACACCTAAATCTATGTATACAAGTTTTCTCGCATCATGCCCTCATCGAAATGCTCCGACCAAAACTGGGAATTGAACCAGTGCTCTCTAGCTTAAGACAACAACACTACCTGCTAGGTACTCGCCTGCACTCCAACACCAAGTCAGTCAGCATTAATAGCAAAGCTTAGAGGAACCGCTCTATGACACTTAATGCTTACACTTAATACTTTCTTCAGTGCCATATAGGACACACATGGTTTCACTGCCATTATGACCGTTTACTTAGTTCAGTCTACAAAACAGTGTTTTTTTATTGGCTTTCTAGACAGTCTCTTTTGTGCGACTGGTACTTGCAAGCTCTCATGAAGCGCCTGCAAATATTGTGAGCGTTTGTTGGCAGTGCACACAGATCAACACACTGGATTGATGTGCCGCAGCCAGCACAAGCAGAATCCACTGGAAACAACTGGTTTGATATGGCCTACGCTTGAGCATACGATGCCACCAATGACACATGCTCAGATGTGAGCTATCTCGAATCAGGTGTAATACCTAGAAGTCACTCTGCAGTCCGCTGTGTGTCTATCGAGCTTCACAGATAAGCCTTTTAGGCCCTGTACACTGTTAACTTAGTCTACGCACATGAATAAAACATAGGATGTCAGACTGTTTCAAATACGAGGAACATAGTGAAATAGTTTTGGAAGCTGCTCATGCCATCGCCATCCAGACATTCAAATGATGTGACTCACTGTGAGTTTCTTGCACCTCAATTCACTAAGCTACCCCTCTGAAACGGTGTAATTGACGTTATGGGAGGTGATGCACCGTTCTCAACCATTACTTAACCAGGCACAACAGCTCACTAGCTTTGCAGCAAATTTTAAGATGTTTCTCATTGTGTGACTAACAACATAGAAGTCTAAAAACAGCAAGACGGGGAAAGTGGAAGCATGCAATGAAAAAAATCCATAAACAGGGGTTGTGTCGAAATGTCAGCTCAACACAACCTCTGCTTACAGATTTTTTTTTAAGGTAGCATAAGTCTTCCTCGTGGCGTCGTTCGTCTTGCAAACGAAATCTTGGAACCCTTCCGCGTTTCTTAGGGCAACTTGGTGCAGCCGCATCGGAAGAGTCAGAGTGACACAAACGACACAAGAAAAACTGTGACGATAAGACGTCCTCATGGACCAACTAGGCTCGCAATCTTGTCACAGTTGCCCCTCTGGCCACGCTTGTTTACCTCGGAAATGAAGATCGTTTATGTTTTCTAGCGCGTTCGCCGTTCAATATTGTGCGGGCACAGACAAAAAACGACAACATGCAAAAGATTCCTTGTTCATTTTGACCCAAGAGAGCCAAACTCGCCTCCATATCAGCGAGCGACACATGCCTCTCAGCACAGCGCACGATGCCACCCGGCATGCGACGAGGAAAGTTGTTTTAAGGGTATATAATAGAGCACGATAAACTGTTCGGACAAGAAAAGGTTAGGACACGCACTCAGTCAAGTTCTTTCCTTGTGCATGCTGCTTAATTTAAGCGCTCGGGCACATAGTTCAACCTCATGCATTTCCCTTCTGTGGTACCGTTACAAAATCTGTGACCAAGCGCGACTTCCTCTGTTGCTATAGGGAACTTCGCGCCATCCTTGAAAGTGTCCGCGACAACCTGACCTTGTGATCGGGGCCCGCACATTTTCCCCCTAAGCGATTCTAGACGAGACACAAGGAGGTACTCTAGGGGCCGATTCAGCGCACAGAGACGAGACTCGAAAAACAAAAGATCAACAAAACACGCGCGGCCGCACCGCACATGCGGTAACGGTACTTAAAAAAAAACTGGTATGAACGAAATGATGGACAGGTACACAGACAAACATGGACGAGCACAATCTTACTGTTTTCGTCTTACTATGTCCTTGTTCATCATTTCGCGCAAACCACTTTTTCTTTGTATCATACACCAACGTACTCGCCCAGCTACAAGTTTTACAGGATCCACGATGAGAGAAGAGTGTTTTACGGCAAGGCGGCGTGCGCAAACGCCACGTTTGGGAGGCAGGGGAACACTCACTCGTCTCGGCCACAGATGCGGCGGCCACGGACAGCGCGTACTTGTAGAAAAAGCTGTCGACGTATCGCGGTTCGGACGGGATTCGGGCGATGGTAGCCGCCATGACGACCAAGAGTTAGACACCACAATATCGTCAATCAGGAGATGCGGTGTCTTCGGAAGCAGCGTGCTCTTCTGAACAACGCCGCGTCGCCAGCCATCACCTAAAAGCGCGACCGGCTTTCCTCCTTTAGCACGACGGTAAACCTCGAGGTCGTTGTTAGGACTTTTAGAAGCAGTCCCGGGATCGCCAGCACATCGCTCGTCGCCGGTGCACCATGCCCCCGCAAAACGATGCACGGCGTCGTCAGCTGTGCGGCGCGGCCCGCCGCGGCGCCGGAAGTGGGATCAGGTGCGATGGCAAAGAGGGGCGGGAGGAGCATAGCCTGGGACACGGAGGAAGGAAAAAGGGCCTGGGAGGAGAAACGCGAAAAACGAAGCTAGCTTGCACGACTATCTAGCCTCTATAGCACGACTACTAGACCAACGCCTCCTAGATAACTTGTGCCTGCCGGATTATCGATGGTCACTTGGGAAGCGATGGTCGTCGGAACTACAATGGTGGCGCTACTCGAGTAGGAATGTCTTCAAATAAGTTTTTATGTTTTTAAAGCTTATATGCAACAAAAACAACGTAAGAGGTTTTTAAAGGCGTAAACAAAATTATAATTAACTATACGTAAGTGACGCCGTCATTTAGCAAGCAATTTCTTTAATACAAGGCATCCTCTAAAATTAGTAACAACTCCAAAATTGCCAATCTCAAAGGTCAAGTACAAAGACCTTATTCCTACGTAGGCAGCGCCGCCATAGATGACCGGCGTTTCGCGCTCATCCGGCAGGCACAAAAAATCTAGGGGGCGTTGACTAGACTCCCAACTTCACAAGACAATAGCTGAAGCGCTGAAGTCAATGAAGTTTACACATTGACTGCCATGACGTAATAAAAGCACTTTCTGCGCTGCTAAAAGCGTAGCCTTCAAGATGTGTACACCACACACACAAAAAAAGTTTCTTAGATAAACGTGTTGATTTTGATTAAAACCATAATTGAAGATACTTGAAATTGAAGTTATAGCACTTCCACTTGTTTTGTTTTTTTTGCTCTATTAAAATAATAAACAACATATTGTGGTTTTGTACTACAATGCGACTTGCGTTGCAGTTTCACTGTTTTGAATTATGCGATAAACTTGCAAAGTTTGGTGAATTCACAGGCATTGTTATTCTCTTCAGCAGCATATTGACTTCTTTTCTTAGGTTGTTAACCAAGCTTTAATGCACGTGTTGCATAAATATGTCCACTGCGTCAATAAACAAGTACCCGGACAGATAAGAAAGAACGCTGTAAATAATTTAAATGTGTACACCATAATGATTACCGATTTGAATCAGGCAATCTTACGTACTTAGAGCAAGTTATTCGCATGTTTGTGTTTTGAAAAGGCCTTGAGAAGCCTCAAGCACATGATCTCGGGAGATCCCAAAGTCCAAAATCCTTATTGCGTCCGCGACACGAAGTAGTTTCGCATATCTTGGTAGTATACTCAACAAGAACAATACAATCTGCACGATTAACTAATGCAAACGTACTGAAGGCAACTAATGAGCTTGATTCTTGCAGATCTCTGTTGCACCCTAAATATCAGCGTTGGCAGCGTGCAGCTGAGGCCGGCGTGTGACTCAGACCTACTTTCAACCGCGACAGGTGTTCATCCGCAGTGATTCCTGCGCGCTCGGTGGCTGTTGCTGCGATCGGTGTTCCTCGAAATGAAAAGTGTGCGCTGAATAGAGGGAGTGTGCTGGTATTTCTCCCTCATCAACCTCTTCGCAAGCTTCGTGCAGCTCGGATTACGTCGTTGGAATCGGCGCGTGCGTGTTTGTGTTATCAGTGAAGTGTTTTTTTTCTGTGCATAACAAGTTCAACGAGGCGAGGCGCACTCCACCAACGAGGCAGAGGCGACCGTCGCTCGGGGGTCGTGATTTGCGCGTTCCCGTCGGGGGGGGGAACTGGTGCAGATCGCTAGGCCTTGCGCTACCGGAGCACAAGATACGAAGACTCGTTTTTTCGCGAGTCAGACTGATTAGTCGGCGTTTGTGAAACCATGGAAGCCATAGCGAAGCACGACTTCACGGCGACGGCCGACGACGAGTTGAGCTTTCGCAAGGGCCAAGTGTTGAAGGTGAGGTTTCCGCCGCGAGCAGCTCTCGCGGCAGCGATGTTTTGATTGTTGTGTTGGTGTGCAGCCGAGCGCGTTTTCGACTCGCTTATGATCAGCTTCACCCCGTGTATGTGTGTGCTACGACTGCGGGGCGGCCGGTTGACGTTCCTTACCCTCCCCTGATCCCGTTGTTGCCGATCAGACCGTCTCGGCCGCTCCGCGCACTGCTGTTCTCTTCAGTTTCCTTTGTGTTTTTTTGCTTCTTCCCGAGCCCATGACGTGAATGGCTTTTTCTATCGCCGCGATAACTGGGCCGACGACGAAGACTCGTCCGCCTGCGGGGGTCGAAAGATGGGCGTTTTTTTTTTTTTTTTTTTTCAGCTCGGTTATGATGGCGTGTACGACCCTCTGGCGTCGCGAAAAATGTTTCTGAAGAACGAAAATATCGGTAGCTGTTGCATGCCTTGGAACGGGCGGATGAATTCCTCTCGTTGCTAGTACAGTACTGGTGACATATGTCGAGCCCCCCCCCCCCCCTTTTTTTTTATTTTTTCGACAGTCTGATTTGACTGAATCTCGCCCACAATTGTCGCCACTATTGTCCTCCGTACTACGTGATTCGGCATCTGTCGCGACAAGTCCCCGCTCTGAGGGGAGAAGAAGCTAGGAGGGCCGGCCAGACCCCTCCCTGCGAGAGGTTGTTTTGTTCGTGTTAGTTGCTCCTAGACAAGAAGCCGTGCCCGTTGCACGCGAAAACGATGCTACGAATTCGAGGAGGAAAAGAAAAAAAAGGAAAGCGCTTTCTGTTTTTCTGTTGTGGTCGTCGCGGCTGCTTTAGTGCGTCGAAACGGCTCAGCTCGTTCTCGACGTGCCGTAACGGCGCTCCGCAGCTGAGATTTGTTGCTTCGCCTGCCCAGCACATCAACGTTTTTTTTTTTTTTTTTTTCTCGTCTACCTGCTGGTTCTCTCTGTTTCGCTTTCGATCGGGCATGCCAGCCAATAAGTCGACGACTCCTATTGCGGGGTTTTACCCCGAGCGAGCGAACTGCGGAGTGGGTCTTTGACCTAGGGCTCTAAGGCTGCAAGTGGTCTTTTATCTGCTTGACTGGCGGTGTTTTCTTCTTGTATGCTTAAAACGCACGTGTTGATGGAAGTCCGTTTCGTCAAGTTGCACGACGCCTTCGGCGATTCCGCGTCGCATAAAATTACGAGCCAGAGCGCTCCGACTTTCAACTGAAGTTTGATCACTAGAACGGTTGCTTGCCAGTGTTTTTAAATGTGTCTTGATCGTGAAACCTCAGAGAGATCAACTTCATCCGCACTTGTTGAAGTTTCGGACATTTGGGTTAGATCGTCAGCGAGCCTTCAGTCGCCTTGCTGCCATTTAATTGCTGGAGGAGATCGATCGATTTTGTATTCTCCATATTTCCTTTGTTTTGCGCATGCGTTGTACTTCTCCCTTCCTTTCTTCTTTACTATTTACAGAACTTTTTTGTTAATTCGTTGAAGGTGCAAGTATGTAACGTGGTTTTTCAATTGATGATCTTCAATCGTACGTGAGTGATGCAAAAACAACCGTGTACTCAGATTTATGTGCGCATTAAAAAAAAATACCAGGCAGGTTAAAGTAAACCCAGTCCCCTCCCTACTCGGTTTCTTCTTATGGTATCGTTGTTTTGTTGCGTAATACCCCAGAAATCGTTATTGATTGCTGGTTAGCGTTCTGCCTAACTCGAGCCCCTTGTTGTCACATACTGAAATCACGTTGTACAATCTTGCCAAAACTACTTCCATGTTGTGTATCTTACAGAAAACCAGTCCTCCGAATTCTTTAAAAAAAATAAAACCCCGCTGTTGAAAACCGGCGTTGAGGGAGCAAGGAACTTGTTTCTGCAGATCGGAGGACCGGATGACCTCGGGGCAGACGTTCAGAAATAAAAAAAAAAAAGCGCGGTCTTGTCGTTCTTTTCTTTTTGTTTCGGCAAGTGTCGCGTTCGTCGAAATCTTTAACCGACGCGAGAGGCTATCTCGACACGACGTCGCCTTCAAGAGTCATGGCCCGCTTTCAATTCTGGAAGTGTCGCGTTGCGTGCCCCTAGTCTCATCTGTTCGAGGCCCTCGAGAAAGAAAACCAAGCCCCCAACCGCTTTTTTTTTTTAATCCTTCGAATGTAGCGCTTGTTTGCTCGGTGACAAGGCTGAGATTTGTTTTGGCTGAGATTTGTTTTTCTTCGCTGGCGGTCCGCTCCGTGAAACCTTCACGGTGTCGCACTGAACGCACACAGACAAAAAAAAAAAAATCCTGCGCTAATGTTGTTGCGTAGGCCTTAGCGTACTTTTGAATCCTGCACTTCACGCAGCTCCACTAGAGTTAACTCGTTAGAAAGTGCGTATCACGGGCACACCCAGGAATTTCCTCGGCAATAGCGCGCTTGCAATCGCCTCGGCGATTGCCCGCTTGTCGAAACGGTGGCGCCCTCTCTCGCGGGGCGCGGGCATTAGCTATATCTTAAAGGCGTTTTTCGTAACGTTAAGCACATAATTGCGAATAATTCTTGGTTATTACTGTAGTTTGTACTATATTAGACATTGCTAGTCTGTGTTGCACTTGTTTTGAGCATTGTTAGCTTTCATTTAGTTTTGCTGACTACTGCGTAACTATGCTGACGTCACAGTAAATGGGAGGACGAGCCGGGACCCTGAAGAACTAAAGCAACTTGAGAATGGAAGCGCTGCGTGCGTTCCCCTCTGAATTACGCGTCTGCTTTGGAACAAACACTTTTTAGGGTTATTGATAAACTAAGTGATGGCGTTGTCACCGTGGCCAACAGCAGAGCGATGTGATCAATTTAATCAGATCCACTCAGCGCCGCCATCTGAGGCCTCCAAGACCAAGCTGCCGGCCAAGTTCTAATAAAGTTTCCTCTCTCTCTCCATTTTTGCACAATCAGCCACCTCACGCAGTGCGTGTGTTGAGTGCTGAACAAGATGAACTGCGATTGAGACCTATAATCTTTCACTGGTGTCGGCCGGAAGTGAGGTGCAACGGTTTTTGCAAACTGTGAAATATGTTGCTCGTTGCATGGTAACACGGCTATTATGCGTCGTGAAATCTTGCAGAAGCACAATGCAATGCAGCTGCTCAGTACTACAGCGGCGCTTGTCAAGAAACTTAAGTTTCAGAACAGTTAATTTTTTTCGCTGCATGCGGTGTCAGTGCCTTTGTTCACTGTTTGAAATGGAACAATAATTATTGATGAGAACTAATGGAGGCGCTGTCAACGCGAGTTGGCAAAGTGGATGGAGGGAAGACCGCCAGTGGTAGAGCATCGGGCGCGTTATTCGAAGGTTGCAGATTTGGATCCTGCTGGTGTCAAATTATCTTTTTGTTCTTCACATTGACATAATAATTATTTCTAACTGGCAATATTGTTTCTTAGTTCTCGTTAATACCGCGGGTTTATGTAAAAAAAGAGCCCGCAAATTTACACTTTTCTTTCAACAAATATTATGTTTCCTCCCAGTAGTGTAGGGTAGCGAACTTGGTCCTACAAAACCAGTTGACCTCCCAGCCTTTTTCTTCTTGTATTCTCTGCCTCGTCATCAAGAAATACATGTTTTTATACTTGGCCATAGTAGGTATATATTGTATTGGTTGCTAATACTGTTGTCTGCCGAGTTGACACGTTGTTCACGCAGTGGCGGATCCAGAGAGGTGAGGTGGTAGGGGTGATTGCCCCCTCCCCCAAAGCCTGTCAGCACCCTTCCTCCTCTCTTCAGTGATTTCCGTCTACCTGCTATCACCAATTAAGACAAATGAGTGGGACCCTTTTGATGAGACATTGAAGGTGCTCAGCAACACTTTTTGAGCATGGTCAGAAAGCGCTGCTGATCGGTAGTAGAGACTCCCGACAACACGCGAGCCAAATATTATAGCGCAGCACGCGGCCTGAAATTCGCAATAAATGATCAAAGTCAGCTAAAAATTGATTTCTCTTCTTTTAGCAAATCACGTAATATGCCCAAAAATCACACGTAGCAAGCCCACCTACCAGCTATTGGCTGATTTGAACATAGCGCGCTCGCTCATTACAGAGATCGCCGCGGGAGGCCGCAACTTGTCCACTCGTGCGCGCGCGATCACACTGAAAAAGCCGCGCATCCGAAGAAAAAGTGCTCAAGGTCACGAGGCGGCTTCTCATGGTGAACAGTGGTGGCAGCGACTGCTGCACAGTGACGCGCTGGCAGACCAACTCTGGGCTGTCCAGAGGGCCCGTGTGGCAGCAGAGGGGCTTGACCTCTCTGTCCTGACGTGGGAGAGCAGCCAGCATCAGTCCTAGACTGATCCTCAGGGCTTCAATAAAATTCTCCATACCGTACAGGGGCGCGCGGGACGTTTTTCTGTGGCCCTGCCATTCCCCCCTGCTTTGCTTCCAGCGCTTTCGTCGGGACGAGAGAAGAGAGAATGCGATTGCCGCGTGTGACAAATCTTTGTAATTCCGCTCGTACTGGACGGATTCTTGAAATTTCTGGGGCGTTAAATTCGTGAGGCAATAAGCTCTTCCAATGAATTCATTCCATGGTAACGTGAAAATGTGTTTCAGGACCCATTTAAGAGTATTTATTATCTGACAGAGTTTTGTGCCAGTAAAAAAAAAAGGGGGGGGGGAATGACCACGACCCCCCTTACGGCTGTTCCTTCAAGCGACCACCCCCCCACCCCCTTAAAATGAGTGGCTGGATCTGCCCCTGGGGTCACGGTGCTCGCGTGTTTACCCGAAGGTGGCCGTTTCGATCCCGGCCGCTGTGGGTTGAATTTCGACGGAGGCGGAATGGTAGAGGCCCGCATACTGTGTGATGTCGGTGCACGTGAACCAGATGGATAATCGAAATTTCCGCAGCCCTCCACTACCACGTGGCGTCCCTCGTAATTATATCGTGGTTTTGGGTTGTCAAACTTCACATGCTATTATCTGATCGTCATAACTCTGCAGTGCTTAAGGCGAGAAGCCTTAGAACGCT